TGTAAGATAAACTAGAAGCCTATTAATGATGTTGTGCTTCAGGTAAAAACAATATATTAATATAAGTGTTATGATATGTTAAGTCAAGGACAAAGAAACTTAAAAGTGTGTGTGTGTGTGTGTAGTGACTAAGGAAAAAAGACATCATCTCTAAGAGGTAGGAGAATGTCTGTTACTAGAAAAGCAAACTACAAAGTAAAGTAGGAAAAAATATCCAGGTTACAACACAACCTAGATGAAATGTTTTACAAGACACTCTTAACCTCTTTGCTCTGTTTTACCAAACCACCATCTGATTATTTAATCTGTATGGAAAAACTTTCCAAACTGGAAGGCAACAGATACGAGTATATTGGTCATCAAAAAGATAGCCTCCATTGGACATTAAAATTGAAATCATGCTGTGTCGATCAGTGTTTAGTCTCAACTTAGCTAGCATTAGTTGTGTGACCTTGAGAAAATCAATTCACTTCTCTGTGAAGAAAATCAGTTTCTTCACTTGCACAATTACAGCATGAGATTAGGTCAGCAACCCTTCCTCCACCCCACCGTTTTTCTCAGAATGAAAGTTTTAGCAAAGTGCTCGATCTGCCAGAACGACTGGACATCCACATGCAAAAAAATAAATATAGACACAGACCTTACTTCTTTTACAAAAGCTAACTAAATTGGATCATAAACATAATTTAAAACACAAAACGATAATACTAGTAAAAGATAACATAGGAGAAAATTGAGGTGACCTTGGGTTTGGCAATGACTTTTTAGATAAAATACTAAAAACACATGTTCCATGAAAGAAAAAACTGATGAGTTAGAGTTTATTAAAATTAAAAATTTTTGTCCTGTGAAAGACTGTTTGGAGAATGCAACAAGCAACATGCTGGGAAAAATATTTGCAAAATACATATCTGATAAAGGATTTGCAATTATGCAAATAAACTCTCAAAACTCAACAATAAGAGAACAAACAAACTAATTTAAAAATGGAGAAAAGATCTGAGCAGACACCTTACCAAATATGATATACAGATGGAAAATAGGTTTATGAAAAGATGCTTGACATCATACGTTATCAGGCAAATTAAAATAACCAGAGATGCCACTACATACCTGTTAGAGTGATGAAAATCTAAAACGCTGGCAACACCAAATGCTGGTGAGTATGCACAGCAACAGGAACTTTCCTGCATTGCCGGTGGGAATGCAAAACAGTACCGACACTTTAGAAGACAGTTCGGCAGTTTCTTGGAAAACTAAAAATATTCTTACCATATGATACAAGAATTGCTCTTCTAAGTACTTACCCAAATGAATGGAAAACTTATGTCCACGTAAAAAACTCACACAGAAATATTCATAGCAGTTTTATTTGTAATTGCCCAAACCTAGAAGCAACCAAGATGGATAAACAAACTGTGGTATATCCAGACAATGGAATGACATTCAGAGATAAAACGAAATGAGCTATCAAGCCACAAAAAGACATGAATACACATTGCTAAGCAAAAGAAGCCAGTTTGATAAGGCTGCATACTCTATGATTCCAACCATATGACATTCTGGAAAAGACAAAACTACAGAGACGTTAAAAAGATCAGTGATTATCAGGGACTCTAGGAGAAGAAGGGAGGCATGAATAAGAGTAGCACAGGAGATTTTTAGGGAAGGGAAACTATTTTGTCTGACACTGTAAGGGTGAATACATATCATTATGTATCTGTCAAAACCCATAGAATGTACAAAGCAAAGAGTGAACCCTAATGTAAACTATGGAATTTTTGTTATTAATAATGTATCAATATCGGCTCAGCAATTATAACAAAGGTACCGCACTAATGCAAAATGTTAATAATAGGGGTGAAATGAAGGGAGAATTGGTTAGAAGGCTAAGAAGATATATGGAAACTCTGTACTTTTCATTCAAATTTTCTGTAAATCTAAAACTGCACACACACAAATATGAAGTCTATTAACTTTTTTAAACAGGTGCTCAGTGTAAAAAGGGTTTTATGGCCAAGTAATTTTTGGAGATGATTCATACTGTTTGAGATTCTCTTTGTGATTCATATAGAATATTAGGTTTGAAAGAATGAGAAATCTTGCAGTAAAAAAAGTATGCTTAATATTGTTTATCCTTCTAGTAATGAATATTTGCCCCCACACCCAGAAAAAGCGCCTTTTCTTTTACTTAATTGAAATAGGGAGCCATTGAGGATGTTTGAGCAGAAGAGTAATTGACTTAAGTTAAAGGATTGCTGTGCTGAGAATAGACCCAGATAGTTTGAACATCTAATTTATGGTTGCCCATTCACTGTATCTCATTGGGTTGAGGTTAGAAAGGATTTAACAAGACCAAAATCATGGCAAAGGTTCATTACGCCAAGATGGGCCCCGGAGAGGAGTTGGCTGTAAGTTAAGCCTAGAATTAACATAGTGATGGATGTAGGACTCCAGCAACAGAGTGGTAATTAGAAAAGGAAAATGTGGCTTCATAATCTCAGCCTTACTCTTAAGTTTGTTTTCTTGGATGCACATCTCTTTTTTCTCCATCTTGTGGAAAGATTTCAGTTTTTAGAGACTGAATTTTCTCTAAAAGATTTCGTGTTTAGTTACACATAAAACTTGAACTTTCAAGGTCAATGACCAAAAAAAAAAAAATCCCACTGTAAACCTAATTCATATATTTTTGAGCATACACCATTAGTCACATGAAAGTCTTTTAATATCTGTTGATTGATTCTCTTGTTTTCATTGTTTTCCTTCTCTTTTTGCCTGTCTAGTTTCACTTAAAGAATTCACTTTAGAATAATTTTCCAAATAAATGTGAGAATCTCTCTTGTCCTCTTTTGGTGACACCAGTTCTCTTTTCCCCAATTTAGAAATTAGAAAGTAAGAGATGCTCCTACTCTCAAATAGCCATATGTATTGCTTTGATACTCCTTTCTCTCTTATCTAAACCATGGATTATTATTCATGTTTTTGACTATAAATTAAAAAATACAGATACTGAGCACCCATTAAATTTAAAGCACTGTGCTGGCGATTGAAATATGAAGATGGGCAGGCGTACCCTCTGAGCTCAAGGAGCTCAAAAGCCAGTGGTCATCTCACTCCAGGTGACACTTTCTTATAGGGCCCTAATTAAGTCATTCCCTAGTACTTTAACCCATAGCATGGCCATGCAGAATTAACTGAGATGACTGGGGTATTGGCTACCTCTCCTTACTGCACTGATATTAAGGAATAGGTCAGCTAAGACTGTAGGAACCTTCACATCTTGAGACACTGTATAGCCTGGGGTCACCTTTCACTCTAGGTGACCTTCTTAGCTCACTCTCATCTTGTAAGATCACTATGGGGATTCAGACTTGCAGGAGTGTTTCATATATTTGAACGATTTTTGAAGAAAACCAATACATACAAATCCATATTTAAATAAGTCAATAACTGATAATTCATTTTACCAAAAGATTTATAACCAAATACTTTGAGGCAAGATCTACTTAAGCATTTAAAAATATGATCAAATCCATTAAGTATTCACAATTGACATGCTCCTCTTTAGGGATTCAAATAGCAGAGAAAGAGAGGTATAGTTACACCTGAGATGTAGTATTAACTCGTCGTATTAGCTCTCCAAATTGAAAAGATAACAGCGTTGGAACTGGGGGTTCCATGAAGATAAAACCTGTGTCGAAGAAACTGAAGGCAGTTCATTGTACCAAAGAGAGAGAGGGAAGGAGAAATCCATTGTCATTCCTCAAGGGCACACTGAGGAGAAGAAAAAGGAGCTGTACTTTTCCACTTCCTCCAACAAAAGGAACAGCTTTTAGAAGACACTGTATTTTTTAAATACCTTTCCTATTTTCTGTGATTCTGTTTATTTGTGTGTGTGTGTTATCTATGTGTCTATATTTATGTGGATAGATCCCTCTCTCTATATATAGGGAGAAATAGACATAAACATATTTGTGGTAAATATTGCTACCTAATACATAATTTTATCTATTTATATTCTCTTTCTCTCTGTGTCATCCACCTATACCTTTGTGCGTATAAACAGCATAAAAACTCTGTTCAAGATGAACAGGGCAAAACATTTTGTGAATGTTTTACACAAAAATCTTTCCATTTCTAATTCTAGCCGGCTCTGGAACCTAGTGTCGTAAATCCATGAATCACTCCAAAAGTGAGAGATTATTATGGGTCTCTTTCATTTTCCCATATATTATATTTCAAGGCACTTCGACAAATCAAACGGCAAAGCCACCGTCGTCGCCGTGTGGCAGATAACCACACCGCAGGCACACACGTTGTCTTCTTAGAGTTTATCGTCTACCCAGAAGGTGAGCCAAAGGCCCGCAGGGGAGATTCAGGTACACGGGCTCCCGGTGCAGGGAGCGGAGGACGCGGGCACACGGGGGTGCGCAGAGGCCACCTGGACGTCTCGGTGCATCCTTTGCGCGACCCCCGCGCGGCAAGACCCCCACACCGACTTAATCACTGGCGACAACGAGTAGACCCTTTCCTTTCTTTTTCAAGCTTTTAACCTCATTTTTGAAGGACACACCCCTGCCTTCTGCCCCTCCTCCGAAAGCCCTGCAGGTGGCTGAGTCACCTGGGGGGGGGGGGTGCGGCGCCCCTCCCCCGTCTGTCTCTGCAGGCTCCCCATGCATCCACGACCCACCGACACGGTCACCACCGAATCAACGTGTCCTTCCCTACACGCCTGCACCCCTGCTGCCGGGATTCCCGAGGTCGTGGGAGGCCACGAGATGCCCACAGCGTGCCAATTTTAATTTATCCAACGTATGCCATCTATCGCCCTTCGATCAGAGGAGACTGCAGGAGAGAAACAGAGACAAACACTTAAACCAAGGGAGAGCGTGAGCAGGCGTCCCAGAGTCAGAGGCCCTGGTCCCTCGTCTTCCACAGGGGGCGCTGCCGGACGGGGCCCCCCCAAAGAGGACGTAAGTGAAAAAGTCCGCAGAGCTCACCTGTGAGGGCCCAGGCAACCACCTCCGTCACTCATCTCTTTCAGGTCCCCAGGCACTGCTTAAGGTCCTGAAGCCACGCTCTCGTACTGGGGTGATTTAGTGGCTTGCAGGAACATTTGGCCGAGATTACACAGTCTTGGCTCAGGGCTGAAGCATACGGCTGGAGAGAGCCTGACTCATTATTTTCTGATAATGTTTACAGCCCAAGCCATTCACTCAGATCTAAAATACCATGCGTTCCGTGGTGGCATCTGCATGTGACTGTGACTCACGGTGCTGCAGCGCTGGCTCCATTCTGTGGATGGAAGAACTCACCTGGTTTCCACAATGTAACCACCATGTCATGGCTGTCGATTAGCTACAGGCACCGTGACTTGCACTGTCGTTCTCCTTTTGGTCCTCTGTGGTGCAGTTTTACCCCAACTATAGATTAAAGTGATGAAATATAAAAAAGTGCCAATTCTTGCATCATTCAGGTTGGGTTCAAATCTCAGTTCCACATCTTAGTAAATGGGAGGAACTGAGCCAGGCACGTAGGCTCAGAGCCTTGGCTTATTTGTTGGTAAAATGGGAATAATATCATGCCATCCACCACACAGGATTATTGTGAGGAATAAATTAGATCATGGAGGTTGGCATGACTAGAGTGTAAGAAATGCTAGTATTGCCACTGGCAAACCTGCAGCCAAAGCTCCTTTCCGTGAGCTGGGTTATAGGCGACTGTATCCCTGCTGATTTACGTAGTAGGTGCAGCTGAATGCATTCCACCCAATATAGAATTTTCTACCTGACAGGAGATGCTGCAAGTCAGATTCTAAAATGTGGAATTGGCCGAGAGCAGGAAATGGGGCTTTGGACAGTGAGGTCTCAGATATTTTAGGCTGCAAATCTGATGACCTTTATTATGTGGTGGCCAGACATTTGGTCAGATTGTCACCTGCTGTTCCTTGGGATACAGACCATGAGCCATGGCAGCTTTGTTATTAGGATAGATAAGTAGTAGGAAAAATTCAGAATGCTGGCATATGGTTATAGATATTTTTTTTATTTTTGAAGAAGTCTGTGCTCAGACTGGAGTTAGCCAGTCTACAAGCAGAAATGGAAGATGTATTCTTTACCTGTACTCTAAATTGACTGAGAACCCTACATTTTGGGTGCTGCAGAGTCTTAAAAAGAAATTTATCCTTATCAAAATGAGCAGGCAAGGACAGTGACAGCAAATCTGTAGCCTAAGTAGATTGGGACCTTATGACTTTCCCATCAGTCTCTTACAAGTTCTTCAGACAAATGTCAGTGGGCATTACACTTGGTATCTCCCCATCGTCATTTTGAATGATTTCCAGGCATTGGCTACTAAGCTATGAAATAGAGGACTGGGCAAAGCCCAGAGATCAACAAGTAAGGGAAGGGAATCTTCAGACTGAATATTTTTTTTTTTTATTTTGGCATATTATGGGGGTACAGATTTTAAGGTTTCAATAAATGCCCATTTCCCCCCTAGACTGAATATTAATACCATGTCTGGATAAGCTCTTTGCCTGTGGTTATTTACACATGGAATTAATTGATGAAGAGCAATTATTCCAAGATTGGAAATTTTATAAACTTTTGAGGGAATTGTATTGTCAAAGGCTAAGAAGAGCCTATAAATAGAGCCTATAAAGGCATCAGTATCTGTGGTCCCAAAGGAAGTGATCTTCTATAATACTTGCTTCATATGTGGTCATGGATGACAACAGTCAGGGAAGAATCTCCCTGGGAGCAGGACCCGAAAATGCTGGAATGGGTGACCAAGGACAGCACCTATTGATAGAGCACAGGAATCCTGAGTTTTCCTGCCAGACAACGTTTGGTATTTACTTGGCACTGTCTCTGTTGTGTGCCTTCCATTGTTCTCTTTTCTGAATAGGAGTTAATGTTGCTTCTAATTAAATATTAAATAATAATTTAGAAGGACCAGAGTAAGTGCATTATTAGTAAGTGCAGCAGGTAGCATTTGGTATCTGTCCCTCCTCTTTCTTTCCTCTCTTCTTTTTCTTCTACTTCTTCTTCTTCTTCTCTCTCTCTCTCTATTTTTTTTTTTTCTGGCTTATTGATGTAAGCTTTTGGCTAAAATTAAGCATCAGTGCCTGGAGGTGGAGTAGCCATGTGGAGACCATTACAACAGAAGCCATGTGCTAAAGATGGAGGAGCAGTAGGCTAGCTGGAAAGAATCGGTTCTGGATGACTTCCTTGAGCAGTTACACCAGCTCCAGACTGACTGTCAACTTCTAGATTTGTTGTCATGTAAAAATAAAAAAGTTTTACTCATTTAGTTCCCTGGAGCTTAGTTTTTGTGTAAATGCCTGTTTGTGGCTAAATTTTAATAAACCATGGCTTGATTGCCAAGAGAAATCAGAGGTCATGGAAAAGAGAGGACGGTCACATGTTCTCAGTTTGGGGCAGTCAGTGGAAGCAGTAGCGGAATGGATGGACATGGCAGTGGGGTAGTGCAGGAGACTGGTGGAGGGATGGTGCTCGGGCAAGTTGAGGAGGTGGAAGAACGTGGCTGTGTCTGGGGACAAAACAACAGTTGAGAGGCAGGAGCAATGGTCAGAAGGACAGATAGGACAAGGAGTAGGCAGCAGTGATCTCTTAGGCAAAATACCCTGGGGGCAGATGAGGACCTGTGTCCAGTGAGGTACAGTCTACCGTGGCTCAGGTACAATCTGGCAAATGTCACTTAGTGCAGGTTGGAGCTCAGTGGTGGAAGATTCAGTGGGACAATTCCCCATCTTCTTGACATCCTGTGTAGAGGCCTGTCTGAACTGATGTGCAGCTGGTCATATCACGGGGCTCCTATTCTGTGTTTTTACAGGACAAGCAGGGGAACAGTCACTGAGAGGGCTGAAGAGTCTGGGTTTAGGCTTGGGTGCCTGTTTTCTAGAAGAGTTGTCTGAGTATGCACCAGTTTCTCATTTCTGGTAAGTCAGAGGGAACCTGGGCTGAGCGAGTAGAGCAGCCACCACCCAGGCCTCCAGAATTTCCCGCAGTTAAACCCGCTTCACTCTCCTTGGCTTGGGAAGGCATTTATTTGCCTTTCATATATTTTTTTAATTTGCTAATTGCATTTCTGCCAATGAGATGCACCATTAGGAATAGAGTCTCTTTGTCTAATGAAGGTATAACTGAATTCTAGTCAAGAAAAGCAACATCTTGGTTACCTATATAAATATCTGAACCATTTCCTTGGTCTCTCTAATGTTTCCTGATTTCTGTTCTTGCATTTTAAGAAATTACAAAGGAAGAAGCCCTCTCAGACATAATAGTCGTCTAAGCCCCAAGTGGACCTAAATTTGGAATGTCTGAAATTTAAAGCTCTGATAATGGATTTGCTCAAATCAAGCAGAAGGAAAATGGCATGAATAAAAATGATCATAACCTTTACTTTAAGTGGCATGGACTGAATTTTGTAATTCTGAGAAAGGAAACATAAAATGGTGTAAGAAAATGGGAAAATCTGCCCATTCCTGTTATATCACCCTTTTGCTTCTGTATCAGCCAGGGTTAGGACTAGGTTAGGATATAGAAATATAGAAAGAGAGATATAGCTATATAGAGATATAAATATATATTTTCTTATAGGTCATAAAATAAATGTATACATACATAATATAATTGTATATAATTTACATAATATAAATAATATACCTTATATATTTATATAGATAGATAGCTAGAGGAGAGAGAGAGAAAGAGAGGGAGAGAGAGAGAGAAATTTATGATAAGGAATTGGCTCACACAATTAAGCTGGAGGCCCAGGAGTGCTGATGGTATAGTATTATTCTAAAACCCAGCAGTCTTGAAACACAGGAAGAACCAATGTTTCAGTTCAAGTCTCAAAGCAGGAGAAAATCAATGTCCCAGGTTGGAGGCAGCTAGGCAAGGGGAGTTCCCCCATACTCAACTTTTTTGTTCTCTTCAGGCCTTCAACTGACTGACATCAGGGAGGGCAATCTGCTTGACTCAGTCACTGACTCAAGTGTTAATCCCATCTCAGAACAACCTCACAGACACCCAGAATAATGTTCGACCAAATATCAATCCAACCTCATGGCCCAGTCAAGTTGACACCTGAAATTAACCATCACAACCTAACCGAGATGAAAAAGTACATGTTTATAGCCTAGATCTGGCTCAGAGGCCAATGTTTTTTTGAAGACTTTTCTAGCTAATTGTTGTTAAGCCAATAGATCAGAGACTACCGGGAACATATCTGTAGTGAAAACACAATTAGATTTCTTTACATTCTTGCAGCAAGGGTGGTTTCCCTCTGGAAAACCCCTGGAGCATTCAGTAAGGAGTAGTGGAGGGGGTATTCTTTTAGGGTTTGGGCTTGTGTTAGATGATTTTGAGGAGGGATAGGGAAGCAGAGATCAGTTCTGGGATTTCAGACTGCTAAGAAGCTAGGTCAATGCAGAGGTTGGGTATCTTTCTTTTTTATTTCAGGGTATTATGAGGGTACAAACATTTTGGATACATTTTATGTCTTTGCCTCACCCAAGCGAGGGTTACAGGCATGCCCTTCCCCTCTACAATGCTCACCATGTCCTTAAATTGTGTGTTTACCCCATGCTCCCCCCCACTGCAACCCCTAATCCCTGGAGAACATTACTACCACATGAGCACCATAGTGTTTACCAATCAGTACCAATTTGATGGCGAGTACAAGTGGAGCCTATTCTTCCAATCTTGTGTTGCCTCACTTCTTATAATGGGCTTAAGCTCAACCCAGGAAAATATAAGAGGTACTAGATCACTGTTGTTTCTTATAATTGAGTAGTATTCCATTGTATACATATACCAAATTTTAATAATCCACTCGTAAATTGATGGGCACTTGGGTTGTTTCCACATACTTGCAATAGTGAATTGTGCTGCCATAAACATTCGGGTGCAGATGTCTTTATTATAGATTGTTGCACAGGTTGGGTATCTTAATGATTTTTTTTCTTGGAGGTGGAAGCATTAAAGTGGGTCTAGAGGTATAATTGTTACCGAAGAAGTATCCACTCAGAGACAGATGATGTTAGTCTGAAGAAGGGGATGTTTAGTCATTTTGGTGGTACAGCTTAGACTTTGCTATGTATTTTCCAAATATGATTATGGAGAGACCTTATCTATGTCTGGT